TCTAGAGGCAAGTGCTGGAAAACCACTTAATGCCAAGAATATGAAGAAGATGAAGATTATTGAAAGAATTAAGAAGGAGCCAACAGTTGCTACTCATGAAGTCATCACATCAAGGAGAATCCCTCTTAAATATTTTCCGTTATTTTCTGAGATTGATGCTTCACCAGAGATTGTGGTCAGATACCTAGAAGCTTGCAAGGAAGATGGAACAGATCCAGAACTTAACATCCGTGATCTGCACAAGCCAGCTCCAGATGTTGTGTTGAAGAAATCCAGAAAGAGAAAGGCAGTAGGATAAGGATCTTCTCAGAGGACACCAAAAGCTGCTAAAAAGAAAGGTAACACTTCCTTTGTTTCTATTGTAGAATTTATGGTTTTTCCAACATTTGAAATCACCCCCCTCAACAAACAGAAGATCCCTCACCTCAAACCTTTGAGGATTTTGACATAGAGTTTGATCCTTCTGTAACCCTTGGCAACTTCCTAAATGAACCTCACTCCCCCAATCCAAATCTAGAACAAAATCAGCCAGAACTGGCTAGAGTTCTTTCTGATATTGAACTATTTGATCAAGACTTTCAATCACCTATCCCAGAAAATCAACACGCTACCCCAAACCAATCAGAAGATTCTTTTAGACTTTGATACCACTACCCCTATTCCTGGAATAACAAAACCTCTTATGGTTCGTCAACCTCTCTCCATATTAGACATTCCAAAAATACCTTCACCCTATCATTCCACTCCACCAAACACACCCCGTTCACCAATCATAATTTCTTATTCTCCTACTCCCCCTCCCATTAACCGTCCAGCTGATCATCTTAGAACAATCATTGATTTAGAAGCGCTGGACCACCTAGCTTCAACCTCTAATAAAATTTCCATTCCCAAACCAACCATAACCAAAACAGATGTTGGTAAGAACTTGTTGATTTTTGAAACAGAAATAATGGAATGGGTTAAGTCTTTGAAGCAAGCAAGTCTAGAAAATTCAAATCCTGTTGCTTCTGATTCTCATTTGGATCGATTCATAAAATGGTTCTACTCTGAATCCCAGAGGCTGAAAGAATTAAGTTATGAAATGGATCAGCAGAACTTCAGTGATCAGCTGAAAGCTTTCAAAGACCGAGTTCTGAGTCACTGGGAAAAGAAAGAAATTCTTCTGCTGGACAATGCTCCCTGGAAAGAGCACCAACCTTCAGAAGTCAATGAACCATGTTCTGATAGTCACCCTCTGGCTATTGTTCAAGAAAAGGAAAATTCAATTGAAGAAGAAATTGAATCATAAGATGCTGCAGAGTGTTCTGAAAGACTTGCATCCTCTGAGGAAACACCAGCTTCATCTCTGGTCATGCAAACTCTGGAAGAGCTAAAGAGGGAGAATTATGTAATCTACGCAAGATTGGATAAGCAAGAAGACACAACCAAATAAATTAAGGATATGCTAGGAAAGCAAGAAGAATCAAGCACTCAGATTAAGAGATTGCTGGAAGCGTTGTTCACACGACTTCCCCCTCCATCTTAGATTTTTTAACTTGTTTTCTGCACCTTGTTTTATCTAAGTCTGCAATGTTATTGAAATCTGTTTTAATACAAATCATCCTTTTTGACTCTGATTATTTTTTATTATATTTCTTTTTGATTCCTGACAAAAAGGGGGAGAACGTAAGATATTTTCAATAACAGTATACCGAGACAAAGTCTCAAACATTCTGAATATCTTAACTTCTTATTTTTTCTGAAAGCATAACAGAAACAAAACTCTGATAAAGACGGAAGGAGATGCATCAAAAGCTCTGATCAGAATGAACTTCGGGGAAGTAATTCATCTCTATTTGAGTACTCAACTCAGGGGGAGACTCTCTTAAGCTTTTTGTTCTGTCTATTTTTATTGAAAATTCCTAGTTTTTGTCATCATCAAAAAGGGGGAGATTGTTAGAACATAGTTTGATTCTACAACCCTCGTAAGAGTTTTGATGATAACAAACACAAAGAACAAATATGCACTCTAAATTTGTGTTCTATTGTGTACAGAAGTTCTGACAGAAGTGGATCATAAGTTTAGCTACAAAGGTGCTCAAGCTAAGTACGCAGACTGATATCAGAATGTTCTGATGAATGAAGATCAGGATTTGCGCTAAAGTGAAAGACATCTTAACTCTGAACGAAAGTCTAACGTTGCAAACATGTCATTATGATTCTGACTTCCCAAGTTCTGAAGCAAAGCAGCAAGCAAGTTCCTTATGTTCTGAAGTGTTACTTTTCCATCAAAGCAGTATCAATTACAACGGCTACAATCAGACAAGGATCTTCATATTATGGAAAGTGCATTAAGTTCCAATTATCTTGTTTCTTTGGACAGATTGCCACGCCTATTTAAACAAGCATCGAGGCTAAATCTTCACGATTTACACAACTGCTTCATACAATCTCTCAACGCTGCAAAATTATATTCATACTATTCTCTAAAATCGTGTAATACATCACAAGTTTGTGATACAGTTTTTTAACGAAAAACATATAGTGCACAGTGAATTCTTATTTTTGTTAGTGAAATTTCCTTGAGATAAATCAGGTTGTGGTTGTACTCAAGAAGACTTTGGCAGTTGTCAAAGTAGAATTGTAATCAGTTTGATTAGTGAATTAAGTCCTCGTTGGAGAGAGGTGAAATCACCTTGGCGGGTGGACTGGAGTAGTTTGAGATCAAGCGAACCATGATAAAAATCATCGTGTCAATTGCTTTTGATTTTTAAGTTTCAATTCACCCCCCCCCCCCCTCCCCCCTCCCTCCCCCCCTCCCCCCCCCCCCCCCCCCCCCCCCCCCCCGCTTCTTGTGTTTTTCGCTTCTTCAGAGCTTCTACCTCCTAGGTACAAAAAAGGTCCTAGCAGACTAAGAAAATTAAGAATTAGGTAGTCTGGTGCTAGAAAAAGATTATCTACTGTATCTTATAGGTGTGCTAAGAGTGATAAGCTTGGAAACAATGTCCAGTCATGCAAGAGCAAGAAGCAAGATCCAAATTCCTTAAAAAGAAAGGTATTGGTGTTTGTCTGTTTAGAAATTTATTTGTGTTTGTTCAGAAAGGTATTGTATCTCCTTGCTGATATTGTATGTCATTTGGATTGTTGTTTGTAGAAAAAGGTGAAGTCTGATGCAGGTACAAGTGCAACCACTAAAGTGAATGCTAATAAACCAAATTAACCAATTGATGCAAGTCAACGTGATGGTTATGCTCAACAAAACCAACCAACTGATGCAGGTCAACATGATGCTGGTCAACATGAGGCAAATCAACATAATGCAGGTCAACATCATGCATTCTCACTAGATACAAGATTGTTTAGGAATATTTCTGATAAGATGATGTCAATTATACCTCACATCAACACATTAAATTCAACTATGCAAATAACAAATATCATCAGCTCACCAGTTACCAAAAGGAAAGGCAAGGCTAAAGTCAAACAACAAGCCATACCAATGAGAAAGAGGTCAAGCGAGAGAGTTAAACTGAAATGGTTTCAAAAACCAATCATATGGTCTGGTTCAAACCCAAACCAACTAAAGTATTTGTCTGAGGAAGAAGAATGTATTCTGACACAAGAAGACAATGAATCTCAAAATGCAAAGAAGACTACAAATAAGGGTACAGGGAAATCTCCAAAGAAAAAAATCAAAGAAGTAGTGCACTTATAATGACTTATGCACACCTTGTGTGCCATTTGTAATGACTGTAATGCACAATATTAGTGTCATTTTGTAATGGCTAATGTACACTTTTGGTGTCATTTTGTTATCATCTTATGAACTAATCATATCAAAATCTTTTATCACAATCATTGATTGACATAACAGTTAAACGTTTCATTAATACATAAAAGTTGCAAATACATCAAACCACACAAAATTACAACAACATGAAAATCGCAAGAGTTCACCCTACATAACTTCAAATACATCAAACCACATAAATTATATTAACTTGTACAACATTGCAAAAATCAACCCAGAGATCACAAGTGTCATCTTCAGGTTGAAATTTATCTTCCCCAGAACTTCAACCTTCATATTTGCTTTTTCTAACTTCTTCAATGTGGTTTCTAATTTCACATATACCATCTTACACTTTTGGCAACATGCTTGAATATTACAATTCCCTTTCATAGAGTCTCCAATTTCATCATCCCACAAAAACAGGTCACAACTATTCTCATTCAACAAACACAAACAACATTTACACAACAATTAACATCTTAAAGATCAGTTTTTGATTTTAAACAACATTTACAAAAACAAGATTCTTACCCTTGCGATGCGACATTTCCAGAATTTCCTATTACAGTTTTGAATTGTGGTGGAGACCCACATCTTCATTGCACGATCGCATCCACACCTGGATAAACCTGAATATCCAACGAAGGGTGTGTTGCTGCTTTCAACCGAGTTGCTTCCAACCATGTTACCTTACACGTAAAATCGTATTAAGTAGAAGAAGAAGAATGAATTTAGAAAAATGGAAAACTAAGAACGAAAATGTGAATAGAAAATTCATGTTCTTCTCAAAAAAAAAAAAAAGGAAATTCATATTTGATAATTGATATTTTAAATAAAAAATTAATTTAAAATAGAAAAAATATCGTTCACAAATACTTTTCACTTAGGACGAAAAACATATGTTTCAATATGTCGATGACGAAGATATTTTTTTCAATATGTCGACCAAGAAATGTCGTGAACGAAAAATTATCTGTACAATGATTGATTATTTGTCATTTATAATAATCGTTTTGTTTCGGAACTACTCCATAGAAAGCGCAGTGATTCACACCTTATGAAGACACAAAGTTTGTAGAAACCAAACGTTTGCAATTAACAAGCAGTGACATTATAAGTTGAATCTAAACTGCATCAACATTGCTAATACATCATCATGTCTATGTCTTTCTATCTTCCATTGGATAATGAAGATCCTGATAATAATGATACCACCAATCAGAAAATGGATAAGGAAGTTGCAAGTTCTGGTGGTGCTGCTGATGAAATGGAATCTCAACTCATTTCACAACCACAAAGGCAGAAGGGGGGTCTTATCACCATGCCTTTCATCATTGGTATGTTATTTCTTTGTTTATCTATATTAAAAATTATATTTATCAAAAATAGTCTATATTTAAACAATTTAATAGATGATTAAATTAAGTGAGACTAACTAATTGATTGTTCGTACTATATTTAATATTTTGTGGTGGGTAAAGAATTTATCAATTTATTTTTTGATATAAGTCTCTTTTATTGATTGGTCAATTATGTTTTGAAATTTCATGCTGTCGTTTTTGAAAATTTTAATCGATAGTGAACTATGCGCAATTTTCAGACCCACTCCATGCATCTTCTCATTTTCTATCTCTTTATTATGAAACAATTTTATAATAAAAAAAAAGAAATTAGGATTAAAAGAAATATCGAATTTCCAAAAGAAATTAAAAAAACAGACATGACAACAAAATGTGATTTGACCCAAAAAAAAATTTTCTTTTTGGGAAAAAACTGATTTAATTTGAACAGACTGTGTGTAGAATAAATCTAAACTTTAAAAATAGAAACTCACAGTCACACCCAATAGTCTACACCAAATTACTAAGTTGCTTGTATATTTATTACTTTTATTACACGTTTATCTTTATTACGATAACATGTTATTTTGATGATTTTTAATAATTAAAATTTTAATTTTTAAAACATAAATTGTAGAATTATTTATGTTGAATACTAATATTTAATTATTAATTTTTGATATTATAAAAAAATAAAATACTAATATTAAAATATACATAAATATATTTTATTTTAACAAAAAAGTTACAATATTTGATTGTGGGGGCGAGACGAGAAAACTCGCCTCTTTTCGATGCAAGAATATATATTAAATATTACTAATTTTTCATGGGATTTGGGGTGAGGAAATTTATTCCTCATTAACAAAGAAAATAAATATTTAATAACAATTTCAAACAAAATTTAGAGATAGAGTGTGATAAAATAATAATGCAAGTGTCAGTAAGTGAAGAAATAGTCCTACATTAGATGTGAATGTGAAGACTTGAACATATATAAGTGGGAGAATCCACTCACCTATCATTTTAAGGTTTTAAGTGGATAAGTGGTGGTCTGTCACAAGATGCATAATCCTCAACTTTGTACCAATGCTCCTAGTAACTCCTCCAACAAATAGGATCAAAATCTTTAGTTCGAGAAAGGGATCAGCTTACTTGTATCGAAATGCCCAAGAAGAGGTGTCTCATTGCAAGGTGTCAACGACAGTACAAGTGTCTTGAAGGGGAGCATTATGGACTCACACTTGAGGGGAAGTGTTAGAATAATAATGCAAGTGTGAGTAAATGGAGAAATAGTCTCACATTGGATAAGAGTATGGAGACTTAGCATATATAAGTGAGAGAACCAACTCACTTATCACCTTAAGGTTTTAGGTGGATAAGTGGTGTGTCTCTCACAAAGGTGCATAATCCTCAATTTTATATCAATGCTCCTAGTAACCCTCCTCCAACAAATAGTATCAGAGCCTGGTTCGAGATATGGATCGATTTAGTATCGAAATGCTCAAGAAGAGGTGTCACGTTGTAAGGTGTCAACGGAGGTAGAAGTGTATGTGGAGGAGCATTGTGGACTCACACTTGAGGGAGAGTATTAGAATAATAATGTAAGTGTGAGTAAGTAGAGAAATAGCCCTACATTGGATAGGAATATGGAGACTTGAGCATATATAAGTGGGAGAATCCACTCCCTTATCACCTTAAAGGTTTAGCTAGATAAGTAATGTGTCTCTCACAAATGTTCATAATCCTACAATATGTATCAATGCTCCCTAGTGCAACAAATGGTAGGGTTAAGAGAAATAGAGAGAAAATAAGGATTCAAAAGAGAGAGAAAAGGAGAGAAACTCATTCCCATTTTTTCTGCAGCAGTCTCACTAAATCGACGATCCCTGATTCGTTCACTGTCGGTTTGAGCTGAAATTTGGTGGGCTTGTTCACAACACATATATATATAACGTTTGATCGTTGGAATCTTTAAAACAATTTCTGAATTGAGAGATTCAGCTTCGCACTGAAGTTGCAGATTTGAGAAAAAATTTAGCTTTTTGGTTCATATTTGTAAGTTAGTTTTCTTTGTGATTTGCGGTTGTTATCACGGTTTTGTGAATCACTTTAAGACTCTCTTGTAACCTCAATTGGTTATAGTGGAACTATTTCTTTGGTCTGGACGACTCACGGTTTTTACTCTAATATTGAGGGGTTTTCCATGTTAAAAATATATGTGTGTTTTTATGCCTTTATTTGTTCGGTTTTTCGTCTTATATTTGTTGTTAAGCCTCAAGGTTCCTACAAGTGAGGAGAATTATATATCCGTTACGTATTGTTCTGTTATTTTCTCTTAATTTTCCATCAGAGTGGTATCAGAGCTCTTAGTTAAGTGCTATTTTACTTGTTTGAGTGATGGAGTCAAATACAAAGATGAAGATGTTATTGTTGAATGGTTATAATTAACATTTATGAAAGGGCAAGATGAAAGAATTACTATTTGTGAAGAAATTGCATTTACTGATTTTTAGTTCCATAAAACTGGATTCTATGTCTGATGAAGAATGAGAGTTTGAACATCAATAGGTATGTGATTTTATTCGATAATATGTAGAAGATAATGTTTATAATCATATTGCTAATGAGACACATGCAAAACCTTTGTGGGAGAAGATAAAGTTCTTGCATGCCTCTAAATCAGAGAATAATAAATTATTCTTATTGAATAGCTTCATTAGTTTGAAGTATAAGGAGGGGACTTCTATTTCAGATCACTTAAGTGAATTTCAAGAGCTCCTTTATCATATGTCAGGAATGAGTATCAAAGTTGATGATGAACTTTTGGGATTACTCTTATTGTTATCTTTACCAGAGTCTTGAGAAAATTTTCAGGTTTCTATTACAAGTTTTGCTCCTAGAGGAGTTGTTTCTTTGGAAACGGCTAAGGATGATATTCTTAATGAGGAGATGAGAAGGAAGACACAAGGTTCTTCATCTCAATTCGAGGTACTTGTCACTAAAAATAGGGGGAGAAGTCATAAAAAGGAACCGAAGGGTGGTAGAGAGAATAACATAAGCAAGTTCAAACCACGATACAAGAATCTAAAGTGTCATTATTATCACAAAACAGGACATGTACAAAATTATTGTTATCAGTGGAAAAGGATAACAAATGCAAGAAAGGTAAGTATAAACAAATATATCATGATGATCATTATGATGATCATGTTACTACTACTACCTGTAATGATCTTGTTATTCTACATGATCATGAGTTTGTTAATCTCGTATCATACGAGAGCATGTGGATAGTTGACAATGGTGATACATTGCATGTTACACCAAGAAAGGATTTCTTCACATCTTATACTTCAGGTAACTTTGGAGTGTTAAAGATGGGTAATGATGGTGTATCTAAGGTAATTGGTGTTGGTTATGTTTGCTTGCAAACTGACATGAGAATGGAATTTTTCCTTAGAGGTGTCAAACATGCTCCAGATGTCCGTTTTAATTTGATCTCTATGCATATGCTTGATGGTTGTGGTTATGACAATCACTTTATTTCTACAAAGGTAACTTGGTTGTGGCTAGATGAGAGAAGCTTTCTAAATTGTATTGGATAAAATATTTGGTTTCTAGGGACAGTGTAAGTGTTATCGACGTGGAAGTGTCTTTGTGGCACCGAAGACTTTGTCATATTAGTGAAAAAGGGCTGAATATTTTGGCCAAAAAGGATATTCTTCCCGGTTAAAAAATGCATATTAGGAGAAGTGCTCTCATTGCATGGCTGGTAAACGGGATAAAGTGTCTTTCAAGAGACATTCTCCCTCAAGGAAGTCAAAATTGCTTTAACTTGTACATTATGATGTTTGTGGTCCATTAAAGGTAAAATGTTTTAGTGATGCGCTTTATTTTATTACCTTTATTGATGATTGTTCCAGGAAACTATGAGTTTATGCCTTGATGACAAAATACCAAGTGTTGGAGATGTTCAAAGAATTCCATGCTTTAGTAGAGAGGCAGACATGCGAGAAGCTGAAATGTGTTCGTTCTGATAATGGTGGTGAGTATTATGGACCATTTGATGCCTATTGTAAGTAGCATGGTATTGCACATGAAAAGACTCCTTCTAAAACTCCTCAATTAAATGGTTTAGTAGAGAGGATGAATCAAATACTAATTGAGAGAGTAAGGTGTATGCTCTTTGAAGCTAAGTTTCCAAATAATTATTGGGGTGAGGCACTTTACACGGATGTGCATGTTCTTAATCTCACTCCTACTGTTGCTTTGAACAGTGAAGTTCCAGACAAGATTTAGTTTGGAAAGAATGTCAAATATGATCATCTGAGAGTCTTTGGTTGTAAGGCTTTTGTGCATATTCTAAAGGATGAAAGATCCAAGTTGGATGCAAATTCAAAAAAATGTATATTCATCAGCTATGGGCAAGATGAGTTTGGTTACAGGTAGTATCATTATGTAGGAAATAAGCTTATCCGAAGTCGTGATATAGTATTCATGAAAGACCCAAATATTAAAGACATTGATAAGGTAGAGAAGACTACACCCAAGAAAGATATCAGTTTGTCTAATGTTGATCCAGTTTGGTTACCTAATCATAATCTAGATGTTATCGGTGGTGATAATCATAATGGTGATCCATATAATTATGTTGATGATCAACAACTTGGAGAAGAGGTAAATATTCCAACTAATGATGATGATGATGATGAATAAGAGAATGATATGACACATGATGAGAATCTTGGTGGAGCTTCAGAGTTATCTCAAGTTAAACTTAGGAGGTCTATCAGGAAGAGACAACCTTCTACGAAGTATAATTCTGATGAGTATGTGACCTTGACTATTGAGGGTGAACCTGAGTGTTTTCAAGAGGCCATGGAAAGTTATGAAAATAAAAAATGGTTGGATGCAATGCATGACGAGATGAAATCATTGCATGATAATTACACTTATGATTTAGTGAAGTTGCCTAAAGGTAAGAAGGCCTTGGA